ATGGTGGTTTAATAAGCTAAGTACAGAAAGAGGAATTGGGACTTCAATATTTATTCAACAAATTTGCTGTAGTGTTGTGAAGCCTGACCCATGAAGTATAGATTTTAGATTTTATTTAAATCTTTGGATAAAATCGTACTACTGAAGATTATGAGTTTCTAAGCTGTTCTGTGAGTTTAAAAAATTAGGCTGTATTACTTTTAAAAATTAAAGAGAATACTGAGTTAATTAATGGTGAGGAGAATTGTTAAGCTGTCATAATTTTTTACATGTCTAAAAGTGAAAAGAAGTGAAAGTTATGAACTTGGGTTGGTAGTTTCAATTTGTATGGTATAATTGGATAATTTGGATAATTTGGAAATAGCAGCTAAATCCAAAATTTGTAGTCTATATTTCCTTCCTAAACTTGGGTACATTTCCTTAAGAGATGAAGCCTTAAGTGGAAAGGTGTAAAGTTATAGACTAGTTCCTTAGAAATCTTAAGAATACTGGAAGTGTTTTATAACACCTTACATTTGAAGGCTTATATTATTTTATGGACTTGAATCCCCAGTTTTCATGAAACCTTTATATGTTGAGAGGAAAAATAGTCTGCCAAAATCAAAGGTCTTGACTTAAATTTCTATTATTATTTTTCTTCATTTTCATACAGTTACATTTGTAATGTACATTTTAATGTACACATTCATGTAGCTTTATCACAGATGATCAAAGTAGAAAAATAGTATAGGAAATTTTATATGCAGTCTTATAGTATTTTATGGCTACTGGAAAAGCCAGCCTCTAAAATATCAATAATTTTTTTGTTGTTTACCACTTTCTTAAAGTAATTCACCTTGGTTTATTGTATTAAGAAATATTTAACACTTATGCTTATTTTTGATAGAGTATCTGGCACAGTGATATGTGCTAAGATACTTTATTTTTAATAAAGGAAAATACAGTTCAAATATATATAAATATATTGGATTAAAATATCTCAGTTATTGCATTTTATTGCCTCATGGTGTTCATGCAGACTCTGCTATATTATATTTTTCTGTGCCGTGGGAAGCCACCCTTTATTGCTTGAATGTGTTGCCTACTTTCCTGATAGAGTGTTTTTACTTCATTCAGCTTTGTTTTATGTTTATACTTCATTTCCCCAGATTGCTAAATTTGAAATTTTACCTATTCTTACAGTCTCTAAGTGCCACTTCTTCCATCAGATGTGAACTCACAGTCCTTCGGTACCCTCTGTCTTGTCTGCATTTCCCTTATGTTTTGCCTTGCATTATCGTTGTTTACTTACTCATCTGACCCCTCTTACTCTTGGCAGCTATTTGAGGGAAGAGCTGAATTTTATTCATGCCTGTTTGTGTGACCTGGTCTGGGGAAGTTTTACATATTGGGAATAAAAAGTTGTTTGTTATGTGGAATTACATTGCCTAGGGCAGGTAAGGAAATAGAGCCTTGAAGTGGGAGGCTATCTCCTAATGATAATATGGGGAGATTTGATTTGTTCGTTTTTCCTTTTGTGCTTTTCTTTTCTCCTGTTGGCAGTTAAACGCACTACTTTATAGTTTTTCTCCAGATTTAAATCTGGGGTGACATTGATATACATTTTCTTTGTTTAGATGTAGTTGTGGCACTTTTGATAGTCTGTGCTTGTTGACAGATTGTTTTGGATTTTCAGTTTTTACAGATGCTTATACCACTATTAGTGTCAATCTGTATTTAGTGCATGCTGTGTGACACAGAATTTATGTTAAGAGGAAATCCTTTAAACATTTTATTCATGCAACAACAGTTTATAAAACAAATATGTTATCCCAAAGTTAACTTAAATATCTAATATTTTTATACATTTTCTTAAATTACATTTTAATATGTTGTAAGGAACTTCATTTCGTACTTTCCCACTCATTTGCCGTAAATTTTTTTCATAGGAAACCTTTTCATTTTGTTTATGTAAAATTTTTACCATATACTTACGCATTGGCTTGCCAGATTGGTTCTCTTTTTAGGTGAAGAATTATGGTGTTTGTATATCTGTCTCTAATCACAAGAAGTAAAAATTATGGGGTAATATGCAATATAGTTGGTACTGTTTATTTTCCTAATTTACATATATAAGACATTCCTACATCATCTAACATTTGTTGTTACTTCTAGTTAGAAGAGACATTTTGTTAAGAGTTTGTGGAAAATTTTGAATTGACTGCTAAATTAATTTTAGTTTGATTAGTGATTATTATCTGCACTGTGCTTTGACACTAGGGAGCATAATGATGGAGAATAAGGAGCAGTCTGAGTTCTCAAGTGTGCAGTCTGATTGAGCAGGCAGCCCTTACAGCAATGGGACATTCAGAGATTGATTAGAGTAGAAGCAGTGGAGCTAAAAAGAACACAGTGATCTGATTGTTTCCAGAATGCAGTTTGTCTGAATGAGTTCAGATGTGTATTTGCACAGAAGCCACCAAATGGACTGAAAGGACAGGGTTCAGAGCGATGTATCAGCGGATTTGTTTTGGGTTGAGTTCTACGCTGTACGTTACATTTCTTTTCCTGCCTTCCAAAGTTTTATGCCTCTCCTTAGGTCAGGTTCTTACACTTCGTTGTCCAGTATTCCATGTCAGTTCTTTGAAATCATATGAGTGTGGTGAGTGTGGCTGCTGTCTGTGATATTAATTGCTTAGTTCTCTAGGGAGGAATAGTGTTTGTTCTTTCTTACAACTATACAGATTGCCCTCTTTTTTACAGATTGATCACAGTTGTGAAAGGTACACCTATGAGATATTTTAAAATGGAATCATGTTTTCCCTTTAGCATTTTGAGAGAAAGAGAGAGAGGGAGGGAGGGAGGGAGCGAGGGGGGTGGAGAGAGAGAGAAAGAAAAGAGAAAATGTCTTTTATGGATAAAAAAACAAGGCACAAAGGGGCTACAAAAATTGGTGTCTTTACTCTTAGGTCAATCAGTTAGGTATTGTATGGAGAACCTCAGCATGGTGTCGCATATCAAGGACATTTATCAATCCCAACAGTTTTCATAATCTTCAACAAATTTTTGAATGATGCCATTGCCTATGGTGCTGCAGAATTCCTAGGGGGACAAAATTGTCATATCCTCACTTGCACCTTACTCCTTCTTCCAGGACTGCAGCATGGGAAGCTGGTATTTCAAATGCCTGTGGACTTTTAGGGAGAGAGATTGACAGGAATTTCTGACCTCCTCTTCTGCTTCATATCTCACTGCCATTTCAGATTTCCATTGGATTTATGGAGATTGCCTACTGATAGGCTACTTGGGAGTTTTCCCTTCCACAAAGTGCTGTGGGTTTAACCTAACTAAGTCTTTGCCTCAGCAGCGTTGACCAGGGGCTAAATGGGTTAGCATGTTATAGAAAAGCCTCTCCTTGTCCTGAAACACAGCTCCCACTGTTAGGATGCTGAATTTCTTACTTTACTCACAGTTTGTGTATTGAATCCCTGGTGGTTGTGGTCATGTCTTTGATCTTTTTTTTTCCCCTTTGGTAATGTATTAGTATATTCTATAAGTTCAGTTTGATTTTTATAACTTTGAGCTCTTTGGAATTTTAAATATAAGTAATAAGCTATTTTAAGTTTCTGACTTATTCAAATATTTCCTTTTAACTTGAACTTATAATAGGTCATAATTTTGTAGTTGATTTTGCCAAATAAAATATAAATTAAGGCTGGATGTGGTGGCTTACACCTGTAAACCTAGCTACTTGGGAAGTGGAGATTGATTGGGAGGATCACAGTTCAAGGTCAGCCTGGGCATAAAATTAGAGAGACCTCATCTCAATCAATAAGCCATACATGGTGGTTCACACCTGCCATTCCAGCTATGCAAGAGGCCATAGATTGTGGTGGTCTATGGCTGCCCAGGCAAAAATGTGACACCTTACCTTGAAAAATAACTGAAGCAAAAAAGGGGTGGAGGTGTATCTCAAGTAGTTGAGTATCTGCTTAGCAAGCATAAGGCTCTGAGTTCAAATCCCAGTACTGCCTCCTCCCTGTGAAAGATACCCAAGGTGGCTCTATTTATAAATGAAAAATAAGTCCTGTGAAAAAATAAATTAGAATATTTCTGTTTGGGAAATAATGTTTAATTGACCAGGTAATTTTTATGTAGCCTAGTGATGGTTAATTAAGATTTTTGTTAAGTATTATATTAGTGGTTTTAAATGATAGTTTTTCTTTGTGTACCTAAACATGTTTGAGTTTAATTTAAATAAGAGTTGAATGGCTAACTTGTTAAGTGTTTGTTGATTAACACTTAATTAACACTTGATTAACGGATATGGTGGTGAGGGTGTCCATATTATTGAAATTGCCTATTTAACTGAGGCAATTTTCTTTATTCAGTGGTGCAGTGAAGTTAAGAAGGGTAAGGATGCTGACGTTAGGGCTAGAGAGGTGTCTGCCCAGCTCTCTCTTGTTGTATTAGCCCATCAAGCTCCATTCTCTGTCATTAGAAAGACCGTGTTTTGCCGAATCCAGAGCTTTAGGTTCCCGGTCAGGTCATTAGTTGGAATATCGGTACCTTCTGAAGGAAGCCTTGTAGAATTACCCACCTGAGCCTGTAAACCTTTTCTGGAGCCAGTGTTGCTTAGCTGTGCACTGAGATTTCTCAGCAGAGTTAGATGTCTGCTGCTCAGAGTGTATATGTGTATATGTGATATATACATTTATGATAGATTTAGGTAGTCACTTTTTTTCTTTTGTTAAACACTTAAATTCTTTCAACCTTGTTCTCAACACAGGGGGTTGAGAATAAAATCTGAATCAGTGTTTTTCCCCAGTGGATAACAGTTTTTAGCATTTGTCTATTTAATTTTTCACAAATGTTTCTGGTTTCTAATTATTTTGTTTCCTTGGTCAGAATGGTTCTCAGAAGATATATGACTATTAAGATAGGTGATCATTTGTTTTTATGCAGATGGAATTTTAATAGCTATAAGTTCTATAATTGTGGCTTTTTTTTCTTTTTTAAAGGAGGAATTCAGAGAACTTCGAGAACAGCCAAGTGACCCTCAAGCTGAACAAGAGCTAATTAATAGTATTGAACAAGTATATTTTTCTGCAGATTCATTTGATATTGTTAAATATGAACTGGAGGTAAAAGAAAACTTCCATGAAAGCCTATCTAAAGTCTGTTTTGTTCAGTGATTGAATTTATGAGATTGGAATTTTCTAGGGGCATTTATTTAGTTTTTGATAATCAGGACAGGTATGTGGTTATCACATTGTAATTAAATGAGCTGTCAGCATTATTTAAAGGTCAAATTATTTTTAAAAATGTGATTTTAAGTGCAACTGTAGGATATTAGGGAAACATTTCTGTATTTTGGTTCTCAGCTGTTAGCAATTAGTACTCTAGTGAGCTGTTTCTGTCTTATTTTATATTGCCTAAATAGGTTTGGAAAAGCTGTGAGACTTTTTAATTTTTATGTTTTTGAGACAGGGTTCTCACGATGTTGTTCAGGCTGGTCTTCAGCTCTTAGGCTCAAGATTCTCCCATCTCAGCCTTCTGAGTAGCTGGGACTATAGGTGTGCCCCACCACGTTCTGGCTAGAGTGCTAAGGCTTTTAATCATGAATATTGATTATGTTCAAGAATCCTGATTCAATAATATTTGCAATACTGACATTTAAAATTTATAGTAACTTCAAAAAATTAGAATAATAAAATTTGGCTTTAGATAAAACCAAATGCAGCATGTATATTTACATTATGTGCAGTATCTTCAAAGTCATTTGTCTCCAACTCATTCTGAAGTTTTGCCATCACTTGACTGAGCCTTGGAATCTGTTTCTTTGCTTTGTATGTATTTTTCCTGCAATGCATTTTTGTTAGTTTCCTGTACTATCCACTAAAAGTAGATACAATCCAGAATGTAATCCACTGTAGTACTTAGTTACCATTCATAATATTCTAGAGGAAAAACTGTGCTGAGTTCTATTGTAGACAAGTAGGGTGGCTGCTGTTGAAGTGGGGGAATTAGGGATAAGAGGCTTTTCTCATATTCTTCTGGCACAGGTCATGGAAACACCGTCACTCTGCCTGGTGTCTGAGTGCTAGTGGGGTTTCCCACTAGCCAGAATAGTGAGAGAGCTTAGATGAGGGCAGAAATAATGGAGGACAATTGGATGATGCTGTTTTTTATCTATAGTAGTCAGAGGTGTTCAAGTAAATAAAACCAAATTAAATCACTTGCTTTTTATTCTTTCTTTATAATTTTTTCTATAGAAGCTTCCACCCATTCTCAATTTGCAAGAAATAGAAGAGTATAGAGACAAATTAAAACAACAGCAAGCTGCAGTAAGTAAAAATCATTTTTGTCTAGTAAAGCTGTAATGGAAACAACAGAGGTATAATGTTTATAAATTTCATGGTTTTGACTATATATTAATATATAAACAAATCCTGTTATTTAAGATGACTGACTCAGATGATATATTAAAGTTTTAGGATTTGTGCAGTTTTTCTTATGCTACTTTGATAGTTTTGCTTCTAAAGCTTAGCATTTTCTCTCTGGAATCCTGAACTTAGAACTTGCTTTCAGATTAGTCAGGACCTTTAGGCTCTTTGTCATGTATGATTTACCCTAGCCATAGTTTTGTAGTGGAGTCTTTTTATCTCAATAAAAGTCCCTGCTTCTAGTTGAACTGGGTTTAAAGAGAATATAAGACTAAGATCCAGAAAGGCTGAGTTATAGTCATTGTTTAATTAGGATACTGAGCAGGTCACTTGACCTCACTAAACCTCTTTTGTTTTACCCATAAAGGGCTAGGTTAGGTCTAGATTTCCTCTGATGTTCTTTTTCTTTATGCAGTTCACTACAGAAGATTAGTTAATGGTATAGCATATGGTCTTTAATTTCTTTAAACTAGAGAAGCAATTGTAATAGTAATAAGTTCATCTATTTGAATTTAACATGATTTTTAGGAATCATATGCAAATCAAGGAAGATAAACACTTCTGTTTTCTTCTGTTTTATACCCAGAGGTCTCAGAGGGTGCTGGAGTCTTCCTGGGGGCAACAGTGGTGTGGGGTGGGCTCCGGCAGGAGAAAGGGCCTAAGCTCTAGAGGCTGTGTAGTAAAAATGTGTTGTGCTTTCAGAGACTTACATTTTAGTGCGTAGTGACACGTTTTTTTCTTCTCTTAGCTTCCACATGTTTAAGTTAGTACATTTCAGATGCATACTTTATGTGGCATTATTCTTTATGTAATGTGCCCCATTGCCATTTGATAAATTTAGGCTTGAATCCTTGCCTTGTAACTTTCTAACTGTGGGACCCTGAAGTTGTGGAAAAAAACATTCTCTTCAAAATTACTAGGATTCTAACTTGGGTATATTAACATTATCCATGGAATTGAAAAACATAATCTAGCATATTGTATTCCACAAAACATGTACTTTTCAGAATTAGGGGACCAAATTGCTTGTTTGTCTTCTTATGTATACTAAGGATCTAAAGGGTACAAATATGTTTTCTTTTTCTCAGAAGTTGTCTCCATAGAGTCAGTTGATTAAGAATTTGTTGTAACAAATTCATCTTTTAAGTCTTATCTTATGCCCTTAATGATGATTACACTTTTGTTTCTGTTTGTTAAACTAGATAATACTCATATTATTAACATTAATAAAGACCATTTACTGAGTTTCTGCTAAGTTCCAGGTACTGCACCATGATTATACTATCTCTTTTACTAATTTCATAACTTAAAGAAATGTGTATGGCCATAGTATTCTGATACTAATGCTCTTTTAGAAGTTATTTGGAAGACCTATGGAATATTCTTGGCAGAATTTTTAAATGTAAAGTGTAATAGGAAGTATGAATCCTTTTCTTTTACATCCTTTATTTGATTGCATGTTCTTGTAGGTCTCTAAAAAAGTAGCAGATTTAATCCTTGAAAAACAGCCTGCTTATGTGAAGGTAGGATAATATTTCCTGTTTTTTTACGGTAAAATTTAAAAAATGGTTGAGTGACTTATGCTTGAAACTTAAAATATTGTGATTATATTCTTTTGTCTGTGGTTCTATACCACCATACTCTCTCTCTGTCTCTCTTTCTCTCTCTGTGTGAATGTATGTATTTCTCATTTGGGACAGTTCATTAAATTGAAGAAGCGAAAGAGTTTTTATGGAGAATTCTAAAGAGATAACTTTGATTTTCTATACTTTAGAAGAACCAATGAAAATTGTTTGCATGAAGTTTATAACAGATATGTAGATCAGTAATATAATTTGGCTTAATGGCAGTATAATTTGGCTTTAAAAATATGATAAAATTGGAACTGCCTAGCTGAATCTGTGTTTTCATTAGAAAACAAGAGCCTTCAAAAATCTATTGAAAAGTTCGGATCAAGGCATTCATTGTCAGAACATCTTAGCAAACAGAAATCATATTTATCATGTCTTAATTTCTCTGTGAAGTTTTGTTGAGTAGAAACATGTAAAAAGATATATTACTTTTATTTATTCCTTTCTGAAACATCTAAGTTTTCCTTATAAGCAGTACTGACTAAATATTTTGTCATCTGTCAGAAAATCAATTGGAAGTAATCATTTTAAATAACTTTTAAAAAATATGCTAATGTTTTTCAAGTTCAGGTATTTTTTGTTGCTACTTTGTTTCCAAAGCAGACTTTTCTTTAAAACCTAATGGAGTGTTTGTTATAGTACCACATGAATCAGAAAGAAAAATAAGATACCTCAAATAACCTGTACCTAATCTTTCTATAGGAACTTGAAAGAGTTACTTCTTTACAGACAGGTCTTCAATTAGCTGCTGTTATCTGCACAAATGGGAGGAGGTATTGCTTTCAGTGATGTTTTATTCTTAAGCTTAAAAATATTTAAGAATTGCTGAAATATGTCATTGATACTTGAGTTTTAAAATTATGGCTATAGTTTATAGAATACCATGCATTAAGCCAGCATATATAATGATCTAAAAACCACACTGTGGGCATTTGGGAAATATCTACAAATCTACTAATAGGTAAAAAAAAGTTAGTTTGTGTATTGTTTAGACTAGTGCTTCCTAAACTGTGGTGAAGGGCCAGTGTTTTTGTCTTCATTTACCCAGACTACTGCTATTTCTATAAAATGCAATAGAAATAAGTTCTTAGGAAAATGAAATAAAAGAAACAACAAAAGACATGATACAGTGCCAGTGTTTTATTATTAGATTCACAAAGAGTGAAGTTATTCTGTCAAAGTTTATGCTAAGTTTTTAGGTGCTTTTTCTCAATTTATATGCTCTTCCAATCATGGATCACTGAGAGTTTGCACATTGGTGTTAGTCATTGACCATGTGTGCTTTACACTGAGCCACTGCCTAAGTTTTCAAATAGTTGTCATCATCTCCAGCTTTCATAGCAATCCTGGTCACTGCCTCATTAGTTGCCTAGTTGTTCTGTGTGGATAGTATTCTTGTTGTATTAGAAAATTCTAAATAGTTATTGTTTGCTTTTGCAGACACTTGAATATTGCAAAGGAAGGTTTTACTCAAGCTAGTTTAGGCCTTCTTGCAAATCAAAGGAAACGTCAGTTGCTGATTGGACTTCTGAAATCTCTGAGAACTATAAAGACATTGGTATATACAGGTTTTTTTTTTTTTTTTAACTAAAATTTAGTTTTGTGACTGAAACAGATTTTACCTTTGATTTTTGTTTTTTTTTTCAGCAAAGAACAGATGTACGCTTAAGTGAAATGCTAGAGGTAAGCTGACAAACCTGGAAATTTGGTGATGCTAAATTAGTATTATATCAAAAATTATAATGGAAAAAATTCAGAACTGTATTTTTCTTGAATTGGTATATGCGTTAAACAGCATTTTTAAACAAGTAAAGGAACTTTTCCTAGAGCCTTTTTCTGTCAGCATAATATATAGTTCTTTTAGAAAACCAAATTTATTTGGGAAAATATTTACTTAGTAGTAACATTGGAATGCTAACTTCAGTCTTTTGATGATAGTGCATCCAAATAGGAATAAGATTATCTTTTGCACTTAAAATATAGTAGTGATTTATGGAATGTGTGATACTTTATGCTTAGTATCTCATATATTAATTGGTTTTCTGAGTAAGCCATCTGTTTCTTTTCAGTGCTTTCTTAGCATTATGTGTCTACTTCTGTCATAATAAGGTTTGCCAGAGCATAATGAAATATTAACTATTATGGTGAACATGATATTTGAGTTCCTTTGGGTAGGTATTTTGTCATTACTCAGCATCTCCAGTAGTTTAAATTGCATCTGTTGAATTTAGATATGAGCACAGGGGCAATTTTTTTGTGGTTTTCTATATAAGCATTGTATTACTTCTAAACATTAGTGGAAACTAGGTTTGAGAGATCCACATGAAAAATTCATTTGACATTAAATTACTGTTTAGGTGACAAAAATATTCTGAAGATACTGCATTAGCTTTCCATGGCTATGACAAAATATTGGAGAGAATCATGAAAGGAGGAAAGATTTATTTTGGTTCAAGGTTTCAGAAGTTTTAGTCCATGTTTACTTGGCTCTGTTATTTCTGGGCCTATGGTGAGTCTGTACATCATGGTAGCAGGGCATGACGGATGAGAACTGCTCACCTCATGGTAGCCAGGAAACTGGGGGGAGTGGCTGTCAATATAATATTCAAGGGCACACCCACAATGACTTACTTCTTCTAACAAGGCCCTGCCTCTGAAGGTTTCACTACCTCCCAATAGCACCGGCAGACTGGTAACCAAGCCTTTATTTATCACATGAATCTTTAAGGGGCATTTCAGATCCAAACAATGGTAGTTATTAATTAACATTTCACCTTTCTTTCTTTCTTTCTTTGTTTAGAAATATTTGTTTCTCTAGAAGTACTTACTGTTTTCTTGGTGGTAGTTGGTGGTGGTGGTTGAGTCTTGATTACAAATGGAATGCATACTGTTATGGAACATTTTCTATAAATAAAACTGAAAAAAGATACATAAACAGTTAAAACTTTCCCTGTGAAGCAGCTTCTAATGTTTATAGACTTTATATATAAGTTATGGTCTTAGAGGGATGTTACTATGTATTTGAGGGAACAGACTATCTTAAATATTTTTTCTTTGCATATATTTTAGACCTAGAGGTAGTACCTCTTTATATTTTGTTATCTGTCATTGGTATCTGATCTTTATTTAAGAGGAATTAAAATTTTTTCTTCCATAAATTTGGTTAGTATATTAGTAGAGGTGTGTTTTTATCAGGGGTTTTAAGAAAAATGTTTTTAGTCTAATGGCTTCCGTTGTTGTTATCTTTAAGGAGGAAGACTATCCAGGAGCTATTCAGTTGTGCCTGGAATGTCAGAATGCTGCCAGCACTTTTAAACATTACAGTTGTATAAGGTATGGTAATAAAAAAATTTTAAAGTTGATTCTATTGTTAGTGTTATTTTATGTAGGGGTTTTGCAACATATGATGTTGATAAACATTGGCAGTTAATATAAAGTGCTGGGTTCTTATTTAACCTTCATGTTTATAAATGGGCAGTACAATAAAATTATGAGTAACAGTTCTTAAGGTGTGAAAGAACAAATGCTTATTAATTTTGCCTCTTCTTGTTACCTCATTGGAACTTATTTTCATACTCTTTCCAGTTTGATTGAATAGTAGACAAACATAAATCTGCTCCTATCTCCACTGTGTCTCTTGGGAATTCCTCCTCCTTAACCTTGCCCATCATAGAACTATTCAGAATATTATTGCAGCTTGTTTTTAAGATCCAGATGACTCAAGCATTTGGCTTATCATGATGAGTCTTTTGGAAAATTTAAATATGATTTCAGTTTATGTAATAATCATCTGTGTAATACCTAAGTGATTGTGTATTTAATGTGTTATGTCTGTTGTCTAAAATGTTCGGTTATAAAAGGTGGAATGCAAAATTGTTGCTGCAACTTTTGGTATTAGTTCTAACTTTATTAGTGATGATTTTTGGTTTGTTTAAAATGAAGTGTTTATACTATCAGAACTGGGGAGGCTGTAATCCCTAGTTGTAATTTACATCATCTTTCAAATAAACATGCAGTCTAAGTAAAAATAGAATGCTTGTTAAACGAACCCACTTTCAAATTAAATCTGTACCTATCCCAGAATGCAACCCCTTTGTCTCTCCTGTATGGATGTTCTACCAGTCATTGAACATGACTTACTGATGTCATAGATGTTGGTTGCTCTTATCTGAAAAATAAAAGGAGTATGATAGAGCAAAATATTATACAGGTTTGAATTATTTTTTTCTTTTAATATACTTTGATATCATAGGTCTTTGCTGAGTTTAGGCTAAGAGATATTTTCCTCCTAGAGATTCTGTTGAAATATTTATTGTATTTCTTTTTCTTTAGGATCATGCAGCTTGAGGTAACATACTTCTTATTTCAGTTTTGTCCTTTTTGAGAGTGATTAACTATCATTACTAAAAACTTGATGCTGTCATTCATACTTATTAGCTCAAGTGAATAGAGACTTAGTTCTAGTTAGCTCTCATGTTGAATGTACTTGGAAATTTTTAATGAAGGTTCTAGATCTTGAAAAAACATAAAGCATCCACTAAGTTCATTTTGTGGTGATCTGTTATAGTGGTAAAAGCTTGCTTCTTAGGTAGATATATTTCAGGCAGTTTTGCTTTGAAATTGACAGTATAATAGTCCACCATACACAATTTAATCAATACAAATTCTTGGCTTTATAGAGAACATTATCTATCAGGAAGAACTTGAGTTTACCTAAGTAGAACTGGGTAGAAGTTGAGCATACAGTGGATAGGATCTCACTTTCCTTCTGAGGTCAAGACTAAGGAGGACTTGAAGGAGGGGAACAGGAGTTAGTTAGGCTGTGGGTAGAAAATTCTGGCGGCCATGAATAAAATCTTTGTTGCAGACCTACCAAGCAAAATGAGGACTGAAAATATTTCTTTATTGGGTTTCTAGCAGCAGAGAGGTCATAGCCAACCTTTTCTGGGACAGTTTTGGTGGGAATTGGTTGAAGTATAAATATAATAAATTTTGTGAAGGGGAAAGATGTGGAATTAAGAGGGAGAAACTCAAATATTTGAAAACTGATGGAAAAGAGTGAGAGGTTAAAAATAAAACGAGACCTTAGTAATAATACACTAAGTCTTTGCAGGGATTATAGCAGAGATTGACTCTGAAAAGGTCACCATCTATTATAATAGGAAAGAATGAGTGTGGAATTTGGTGGCAGGAAATTGAGGGAGCAGACTAACTGTTGAAACTGTATTTTGATTAATTAAAAATTTGATTTTAGGTATGCTAAGTAAATGTCTTACATGATGAGAGTTGGCTACAAAAATGTCTTTGAAAGAAATTCTTATTTGGACTTTTTAAAGTTAGCATGATGTGGCTTCTAAACACTTTTATGTTAATGTATACACTGGTAAATGGAGGGATTATCAGTATATATTACAATTGTCAGACATGGTAAAATGTTAGAAATTGAAAAAGACCTGTAATGACAATTTAAATTAGTAATTGTTTTATTTTAGGCAATGCAGTATTTAAGAAGCATGCTATGTTTACATATATGAGTGATGTTTGTCTTTCCCTTTAGATAGGTAGAAATAATCATAAATATACTCATGTTCCAAGGGACTCACTGTAATGGGATCCCACCTTAGGCTTCCTAGGAAAGCAGTTAGAATTGTGTTTTAACTTGGTAAATTAGTGATAGTGTGAGTGGCTTAGAGAGCACAGCTATTAGTTGGAGCTGTTTGGTATGATGACAGCCCATCTGCTGGCAGTTCTCCAGCATGTATTAGCGGTTTGCCTTGTTAAGACAACATTCATCCTGTCTAATGCCATGCCCCTCTCCTCTGTCCCCTCACCCGTCATTTTACCCTTTTGTTCCAAGTTAGGAGAGCATAAGTTTGTTCCTTTTTTAAAATTTAAAACATTTATTTATATAGTTTTAGGTTGGTATATACTTTATATTATGTGTTAACAAATTACAGTGATGTATTTTTGGAACACAAAGTCACATTATACTTTTTGAATACAATGTGGAATAATTAAATCAAGCTTATTAGCCTATCTGTCACCTCAAATATTTGACATTTTTGTGGTGGGAACATTCGAGATTGATTCTCTTAGCAATATTAAAATGTACAGTACTCAGTCATTAGCTGTATTCATCGTGCTGTGCAATAGACCTCAAAAAAAAAATCAACCTTTTTTTGGTGTTAATGGGGTTTGAACTCAGGGCCTGTCACTTGCTTGGCTGGCACTCTACCACTTAAGCCACTTTGTCAGCTCTGTTTTGTGTTAGGTATTTGCAAGAAGGGGTCTCATGAACAGTTTGCCCAGGCTGGCTTTGAACCGAGATCCTCCCAACCTCTCCTTCCAGAGTAGCTAGTTTTACAGGTGTGAACCACTGATACCCACTTCAAACTTATTCTTACTAAGACTTTGTATCCCTTGGTTATTATCTCCCCATTTCCCTCTCCTAAGCCTCTGGTAGGCACCATTCTGTTCTGCTGCTATCAGTGCAATTGTTAGATCACACATATAAACAGGAATACTTCTTTTATAGGTAATAGGATTAGGTTAGTTCATCACATGAGAAAGGTTGAGTTCAGAAAGATGAAAGCCACTTTTTCTAATATCCTTTTATTTTTATCTTTGTTGATTGGTTGTACATTTCTCTTATTCTGTGCATTTATTTTTCTTTTGCTCCTTTCCTTTGGTCCTCTAATACAGTTTGTATCTGTTTTTTGAGCTCTGTAGTTAGACCTGTTCAGACAGGATCCATCAGCACTTTAAAAACTCTTATGACCTAAATTTGTGCTATTTACCCAAATGCAAGATTTATCTTGCTTGGATCTGAATGAATCAGCAAAAAAATCACTTGACACTCTGGTAACCTTAGGAATAGCAGTTAATTTCTAATTAAATTTCCATACTAATTTTTAAACATTTAAATCTACTTTCATTCTTGTTGAATACTAGGAAATCATAAATATATTCCCCTTTGAAGTGTCCTGTAAGAGAAGCACTGCATGATTTAGAGCATTTCTGCATTCTCTTATGATTTGTTAAAAAACATTTCAAGCAAGCTCATATGTAAACGTACCTGCTCAACCATGTCCTAATTTTTCCTTGGTAGATTGTGAGTTACTCTTTTCATGTCTAGTCACTCCTCTGTTGGAAATGAAGGTATAAGTTGCAGGCAGAGACCTTTTTGGTCTAAGGAGAGGTTTTTGGAATAGATTATGTGGGGCAACTTGGGGGCTGACTTATGATTCTGAAAGTGGGAAAATCAGAATTCACAAATTTGCTTCTGCACAAAGAGGCATTGACTGTGTAGCTAGTAAATCTCAGGTTATATGATGATACAGTTTAATACATGTAGTGCCCAGTAATATCATGATGCACCCAACTGGGTACAAAATGAATGAAAACTGGTACCTCTTCTGCACCTTGTATCTTCCTTGATGTGCTGTATTTCAGCTTCTTTAATAAAAGAAACTGAAATGCCAATTTTGTTCACTTATGACTGACAGATCATTTTTACATTATTTGAAAATTCTTGACTTGATTGACAGAGTCATATTGTGGGAATTTACTGGGAATCAGAATCAAAATGTGTTTATATTAAAGTGTGTCTGTGAATGAAGCATTTAATTTCTTTTTACTTCAAATTTATCTAAATTAGTTTCAAGAAGAATTTCTGCAAAGTTTAAACTACTTTATTACTTTTTATTTCATTTGAGAGAAACTATTTGATGGATCCTGAGAGCATTGTGTTTTATGTACTGGGAAGTTTGTGTGCTATCAGAACTAGTTTGTTGTGTGCTGTATTTTAAGGTAGACAGATGTATTTAATTTTTCATAATCTTTATAGCATCCTTTATTTTCTCTCAATACAGTCTTGGAACTTTTGTGAAAATTGCAGATCATAGAACTTAAGTCATACAGCAAGTGATCAGAGCTTTTAGCTATAAGAACATCAGTGCTAGGGACTTTTCTTCCTCTGTTGTCTTTAATTTCTCCCTTAGGAGATGTGCCTGCTTTCTCTTTCTTTAGCTCAGGCTAAGGACCTCCCTTGAGTAAAGTATGAGATTCGTGTGTTTCTGCTGAGTCACTAGACCTGTTAGTTAGATCCATTACTTTGACCATTAGTTGTCATTGCTGTGTGTGCTGCACTGAGTTACTGATACTGTGTTACTCTGACACCTGCACTTTTGTCTCTTATTTTAACTTGTTTCCTTTGTCTTCCTCCATGCAGCACTGTTTATGGAAAAAAGCATAATATTTCATCAAAAAGGTCTTAAAGCATAAAGTTTTTTATTTCTACCTCAGTTGTCCTTCTCTTTATTACTTCATGGAGT